AAAAAATTCAATCCCATCCTCCTCTACCCGCCAAGCGAATACACACACATAAATTACTATTTTAATTCCGCATTATCGTTATTAAAACGAAATTTCCAGGAACAACAAGATGTATTAAAGCGTACATCAGCTCTCGCAGAGATCACGGAAGCGCTTTTAGTTTCGTTTAACATCAACGTTAAGATCAATTTATTTCGTTGGATCTTAATTAGAACGACCTTGACAAGTGTCTGCACTGCAAGACTGGAGCGGAAATATTCCTGTGGATCTAAAATTGGGTCTGGCGAAGTTAGTACAGTCAAAATACGCGAAAGTACGCATTAGAACCGATATTGGCAAAAAACGACATGATTTTTCGCGTCACCGTGTACAACGCAGACACGCCCCCTGCCGACCAATGACGTCACCTGTTTTTTTACGTCGCCCAGCCAGATAGCGCCTTCTTCAAATTAATGGGGAATATTTTTAAATTATCTCATTCGTAATCCACTTTCAGACCCGTCTGCCTGACCTATGACACTTGCGGACGGATTGAAGAGAAGTCGGATGTGTATGCGCTTAGAGTCAATTTTCACATTTTATTTTTCAAATAATGCCGAAGATGGTGCGCCAGCCAAGTGCAACGTTGCCAAATCTAAAGGCTTTCTACTTTAGTCACTAGTGAATCTACAGAAACTTTCGTTAGACTTTAAGACGGACCTCCGTACCCGATAAACCTCCTTAAACCGCCATCGCCATCGGTTTGACTTTGAATCCATTTGGAAAATTTAAGACGACTGAGGAAATCAGCTGTTTCGCTTCAACGTTTGAACGCTCTGTGGTGTTTCAGCGCGTTCTCAGCCAGCAAATGTGATGTAAAGTAGGGCGGCGAATTAACGGGAGTCGAGGGGTGATTTGCTTATTTTTAAAAGGTCGAATAATTTTTTTTCTTCGATTTTCTGTATTTACTAGGCCTTCCGAATACGTGGTTAAAATTAATGACCTTATCACCCTGTATAGTAAGCTCCTCAGCTTTATCCTCATAAAGGAGCTTTTGTGCACGTGGTTTTCCTAAATTCGGAGCCTAAAGGAGCGCATACACATCCGCGCCGTATGCTAATAATACAACGTAAAGAGATTGAAAAATTGCTGTTTGTTTAAACAAATTTTAAACATGTGTGGTATTTTTAGGTGTTCGCCGCGATTACTCGTCTTTCCAGTTAGCTGGCTATCGGTTCTAATTGTCGTTCGCCATTCGCGCCAGTGATCACAGAGCATGGACGCCAAAGCCTGCCGTAAGTCCATTTTTAGTTCATATTTCCGGACGGGAGTCAATCAGGATTTAATAGTACCGGGGTCGCCGTTTTGACTCTATAAAAATATGTAGTGACGCTTCAAATACTAATAATCCAGGCGGTATCTGTTTTAAAAAGGGTATACTTGGGTAAAACGCATATGATTGGGAGATTTTTGCTTTAACGGCTTCTAATTAACATCAGAAATGATAATTTTTCAATGCAAATAAAAAAAAACGTGGGCTTAATTGTTATTGCAAAAAAGTATAAAAAAAATGGCAAAAATATTAATTTTTTTCTTGGATTTCTCGTCGACAACTTAGCAACTATTCGTTTTAGACAAAAATGGAAGAGCAAAAAAAGTTTTGTAATTAAATTTTGAACAAGATAGTTGCAATTCTAAAAAATAATTATTGTTGTTGCAAAAATCGGAAAAATCATTAAAAAAATTGCAGAAAATGCTAGTTTATTTGTCAATTTTTTTCAGACACTTGAATAATACCCAGCATCTTTATACTTTTCCCAATTAAATTTCTTATTGCATAGAAGCACCACACCAAATTTCATCCAATTCGGTTCTATAGTTTTTACATAATAATAGTTAATTTTTTTTTTAAAATAAAAAAATTTTCAAAATCAAATTTCTAAAAATCTAAAGCCTTTGAATACTTGAAAATTTCACCACAAAAAGAAGAGCTCTCAAGCTTTAAAATGCTTTTTGAAAAATTCAAATCGGACGATTAGGTGAGCCGTGGTGATTGTTTAAACATTTTCCCAATTTTCACGCTTATAAACAATTGCAATAATTTTTATTTTAAAATATGGTTTGAAAGTACTCGGAAAGACGAGTATTTAAAAAAAAAACTTGATGATCCGCCCATTATTTTCGGAGTTATAACCCGTTAAAGTTAACCCTTATTTACAGTAAAACTATAAGGTTATAAGGGCTGTTTTTTAACTAATAGGTTTGTCATTCCGAGTCCTCTCCAGATATAAATTTTCAAAATTTGCAATCACGGACGTTCCATTTAAAATGTCACTCAGATATTCAAGACCGCGTGAAATCAATGAGGTGTCAGTGGTGGGGGGAGCAAACACACAGCTACTCCGATCTGAATTCTCGAGTTCAAAACTGCGACGCTCGGAAAAATTTCACTTATCTCAGCTTCTAATGGACCAAAAGGCTTTAGATTTTTAGAAATTGATTTTAAAAATTTTTTTATTAGAAAAAATTTTTTTAAAAAACATTAAATTATTGCAATTGTTTATAAGCGTGAAAATTGCGAAAATGGTTAAACAATCACAACGGCTCACCTAATCGTCCGATTTGAATTTTTCAAAAAGCATTTTAAAGCTTGAGAGCTCTTCTTTTTGTGGTAAAATTTTCAAGTATTCAAAGGCTTTAGATTTTTAGAAATTTTATTTTGAAAATTAAAAAAAATAATAAAACAATTACTTATTATGTGAAAACTATCGAACCGAATTGGATGAAATTTGGTGTGATGATTTTATGTATTTAGAAGTTTAATTGGGAAAAGTATGAAGATCCTAGGTATTATTCAAGTGTCTGAAAAAAATTGACAAATAAACTAGCATTTTCTGCAATTTTTTAAATGATTTTTCAGATTTTTGCAACAACAATAATTATTTTTTAGAAGTGCAACTAACTCTATCTTGTTAAAAATTTAATTACAAAACTTTTTTTCCTTTTCCATTTTTGTCTAAAATGAATAGTTGTTAAGTTGTCGACGAAAAATCCAAGAAAAAATGATTTTTTTTGCTATTTTTTATATTTTTTGCAATAACAATTATTTGCATAGAAAAATTATCATTTCTGATGTTATTTAGAAGCCGTTAAAGCAAAAATCTCCGATCATATGCGTTTTACCCAACCCGAAACAGATATCGCCTGGACTATAAATAACACATCGAAATCGAGATGGAAGAAATAAAACATTTTGCTTTGCTGGTAAAAAAAAACAAAAAAATTCAATCCCTATAGGCTATGTGTCCTTGATTGGAAGCTAGGAGTAGGAAAAGTGGTGATGAAAATGTTTTTTTGTTTCAGCGAAACTATGGCAAGACGGCTGTGCTTGTCGCAAGACCAGAGCGCCGAAAATAGGAGATATTCCAAGGTAAGTCAATTTTTTTAAAAATTCGTAACACGTTACGTTAAAAAACACTCGGTAAGAAAAAATTAAAGCAGAAAAATATCCAAAATTTTTTAGTGATATTTGAAAGGCTGTAATTTCGTGAAAAATCGCGGTATCGAGAGAAAAAAAAGAATCATCTTGAAGATTCTAGATTTGAAATCTTGAGATGAAAAATTTTTTGAGCATCACTCTCGGCGAAATCATAGAAATAATGCAAGGCAAAAATCGTACAATTTTTTTTCTTGAAAATTGCACGTGGGTTCAGAATTTTTTTTTTCTGTCTTAATCAAGGCCAGGGTCCACTTGACGTGATATAACACGCCTGCCAATATGCAGGGTGTTTCTTAATAACGTGCTAATATTTAAGGAGGTTATTCTTGTGTCCATTTTAAGAAAAAAACTTCATATGAACATACGTCCTAAAAGTCTTAACTTTTGAACTACAGGGCGGTAAAGTTTTATGAAAAAACATTTTTTTTTTTGATAACTTTGGTATTACCCTAGATATTTTTTCAAATTTGGTACACATTTTATTATTTTTGCCAGTGGCGTCTGTACAGGTTCTGTATTGAATATTTTTGAAGAAAAATATGTTACGCCACTGCTTTTTCTTAAAGTAAGAATCATTTTTGAAATCCTCATCCCTTTCTGAGCAAATGCGGTGTCTTGAATTTTTTTCGTTTAACGTATGGTTTTGGCATAAAAATATAAAATATGTTTTCAGTCACGAAAATTGAATAATTCCAAATATTTCGAATTTTCACCCCCAAGAACGGCGGTGACAACATTTTTAACATTAAGGCGATGTTTCGCGTTGTGTTAGCTATGTCCTCTCCAAATTTGGTTTAGTGCAACTCTCGATTTCGAGAATATAATACCTATGCTAGACACTAGATCTAAGGTCCCCGCGAACGAAATTAATATTTTTCACAACGTGCAGAAACTCTGTCGAGCAAAGATATTCTCGCAGGTTGTTTATTATCGCAATTAGTTAGGACGATGTTGACATATTTCGGTTCCCACGAGACTTTCGCGGATTGAAGGGTGTTTACACTGTCGTTTTTTATGAGAAACACATCTGGAATCCAGTTGAGCATGGCAATGTATTTTGTAAAACAGGGGGTATTCCAACATCCCATACTAGTATACGGCATGCGAATAGAGGTTAATTTACACGGAAGCTACTTTTATCCTTTAGCCACTAATACACCATAAGTTTGTTTTAAATAAGGTAAAATATGAAAAGTAATTTATAGAAAACTCGAGCAGTAATAAAAGAAATACACAAAAATAAATAAATAATCTATTTATTTACCTGATGTTTACAGCATATGATATACTTGAAATTTTGTGGCTAATCTTCGATTACTGGTACTAGTATCTTCCTCCACAGCGTCTACAATTTCTGATTCTCACTCCCTGAATTTGTTCCAATCCATCGTTAGCATATTGGTGTTCCAAGCTTCCATAATCTGTTGAACCAATGTTATAAATATTTACTTATTCGGGAAATTGTCGTTTGGGATGCTTCATCTGATATCGTCTTCTTGCAACAGCAAAATAGAGCTGAAAACACGAACAGTGAGTAATAATGTAATTTCTATCACAGAACCTTCAAAATTGCATCCGACATTTTCTTCGACTTGGACGAGAGATGGACGCGAGTGTCATTTCATTTCTTTAGAACTAAATTAACATAATTCTCGTTGTTTTACCAGTTCACATGATTTACGGATTTTAAATAAAGGATACAAATCTTCGCGAGGATAATAGGATATATTTGGTATATAATAATTATATTGTACATAGTTTACACACAATACATTTTTGAACGCGTACGCATCTTTATCCGAATTTGACGCGCAATATCTCCGATGTCCGAGGTCTGTAGGTTCGCAGTGTGTACAACCGCTAGTCAATTATTAGCGCTGTCGCCACATCTACATAGTCTTTATGCGTTCATTAAATATAATTTTAAACTACTTAAATATGATATTTTTACGTTGTTAATTACTCAATATGTATGCTATGTGCATATGAGTAGATTTCTTTGCTATATAGATAATGCTTATCGCAAATAATTTCAATAGAATTTAATTTTTTCAAATTGACAGCGGGCTTTAGTCCCATAAGAAAAGCATAGGACCTCCCCCCCTGATATACCTCCTTAAGTGTCTTGCCGAACATAATAACGTTATCGAATTACACAAGACAGATCTTCCAGGTAAAGCTGCTATAATCTGTTGAACCAATGTTATAAATATTTACTTATTCGGAAATTGTCGTTTGGGGTGATCCATCTGATATCGTCTTCTTGCAACAGCATCGTTTTCTCCTGACAAAAAGGTCAAAAATAACGGTTTTTTATTATATAAATGTGGAGTCTTGGGACAGCCATTGTCCAGCTACAGAAGAACAAAAACCCTTTATTTTTTGGCCACAGAACACGCCTCTGGATTTACCTCTACTTAAGAAACACCCTGTATATGGTTATTGGACATGTTCACGCGAAGAACGCACATTTCTTTAAGAAAACGGGTTTTCTTTAACCGACTCGTTACTGCTCGCGGAAAGAACTTGAACAGACCGCTGCGCGCTGTGAGCGACATTTATTAGAAAACTTATTTCAGGGGGGGGGGGTCAAGTAGGCCGTAGGGTAGCTTTCCGGCCTTCCGGAGAAATTTATCAGGCAGACTTCGATCCCGTCGGGGTGGCGGGATCAAATACTTATAAATATCGAAGTTGGCGCGTCTGGCTCGGTGCCAGGTGGGGTTGCGATATTATATTTTTCCCGGGATTAGAAGTTTTGCGGATGCGGAAGTGGTTTTTACGCAACAAGTGTTATTTCACTAGTACGGATTGATTTAATAACAAGAATTCAGTTACATTGTACGGTACGCCCCTAAAGTATGGAATAAATTCAGTAAAAACGAAACAAATTTTTTTTTTGGGAAAAATCCTCGAACAGGTCAATTTTTAATTTAAAAAATACATATTTTAGCATAAAACGCGTTTTTCAACCGTCATTTGTTTTCGAGTAATGACGTCATCGACATTTTTTTTAAATAGCAGCCCCCTATTTTTTTTCTTGATTCTGAAAGATCGTTTCATTGTCGATCCGACAGTATTAAAATATTGCCATCTTACATAGGAAAGTCTTCGAGTAAATGACGATTGAATGTTAGAAATCGTAAATTTTATCCATTAAAAAAATAACAATTCCTCTGTCAAGCAAATACAATTCTTTAAGTTTTCTACGTAAATTAAGTGTTCGAATTGCCACCCACCGACTTCTTGACAATACGCAAGTCTGTGTAGAAATTCTTCTTGCACATTATGAATTATTTCTGAGGTAACTCTGTGTATTGCATCTAAAATACAATTTTGGTGTTCTTCTAAATTATGTGGTCTATTAACGTACACTTTGGACTTTAAGTAGCCCCATAAGAAATAGTCCAGGGGTGTAAGATCTGGGGATCTCGCGGGCCATTCTATCGGTCCTCGTCTGCCGATCCACCTCCTAGAAAAACAATTGTCCAGAAAATCTCGAACAAGGCGCGCATAGTACGGAGGTGCACCGTCTTGCTGACATCATATGGTGTCATCAGAAATATCGGGGTCATTATCGTTAGGAAAAATTACTGCAAGCGCTGGAACGAGGTCATTTTGTAAAAACTCTAAATATCTTTCTCCCGTAAGGGTTCCTTCAAAGAAGAAAGGCCCTACTATTATATTGTCAACTATTCCAACTCACACATTTAATTTCTGTGGGTGTTGGGTATGTGTCTCTTCCATCCAATGAGGATTTTCCCGACTCCAATTCCTGCAAGTTTGACGGTTCACTGTACCATTGAGACAAAACGTGGCCTCGTCTGAAAAAAGTATTTGCCGGTGTAAATTTCTATTTATTTGACATAAATTCATCATAATTTCACAAAAGTGTAAGCGGCGGTCGGGATCGTCTTCATTGAGTTCCTGCACAAGTTGAATTTTGTAGGAACGATTTTTTCCTTCCTCAGGATACTTAGCACTGTGGTCCGACTAATTTCATTGTTTAATGCAACCAATCGTGAACTATTATGAGGATTATCTACCATACTTATCAAAATGTTCCCTTTGTGATCTTCACTAACGCTTGGACGTCCATGTTTTGGAATATCTACAACATTGCCAGTTTCTCTAAATTTAGATTCTATCTTACTGACTGTTGATTGGCTGATACGGCATCCTGGATGTTTTTCATTAAATAAATCGCAAACTACCCGGCGTTCTAGTCTTATCCCCGCATCCTATAAGAATTGAAATTTCAATTCTTTGTGTGACAGTTAAATGTGCCATAATACTTTAAATTCAACAATAATTTTTATATCGCTTACAATACTTAGAAAGTCGGTATGACAGTGACACTTTGTAAAGATTTACACCTACGTGATCCATAAAAAACTTCAGGCATTTCGAAAAACTAAATTTGATAACGTTTTTGCTTTATTTTAATTGATTTGGGTTTTCTAACATTCAATCGTCATTTACTCGAAAACTTTCCTATGTAAGATGGCAACATTTTAATACTGTCGGATCGACAATGAAACGATCTTTCAGAATCAAGAAAAAAATAGGGGGTTGCTATTTAAAAAAAATGTCGATGACGTCATTACTCGAAAACAAATGACGGTTGAAAATCGTCTTTTATGCTAAAATATGTATTTTTTAAAATAAAATAATTTATTTCGTTTTTACTGAATTTATTCCATACTTTAGTTGCGTACGGTATATTTTCAATGTAGTTACTTTGACAATTTGACACTGTACTGTATAGTTCAGTGATTTTTGTTATTTTAAATGCTTTGAATATATTGTGTATGCAGGTACCCTTCCGCGGCAGGCTTTAATGTACGCGACATACATTTTTTAACACCCCAAAACCACTGGGTGAAGTGTAATGAGCCTATTTAGAGCTAAACCGGAAGTGCGGTGGTGGAAAA